AATTGCTAGTTGATATAGATGAAGAAAAAGAGAAATTATATGGAAAACAAGATGCAAATCTATCTCATTTACAAACGTATTCGGATAAAAGTGACTTAAACGATGATAAAAATAGTACTCTAAATAAAAATGATAATATTATAAAGCAGGAGATTAAAGGACTAAAGTATTATATGCACGAACAATTATTTTAGGATAATATATTTGTTATGATATCTCTTAAATTGCATCTAAGTAGAATGATGAGTAAAATGTTGTGATGGTTCTCTATATAAAAAACATGAAGGTATTGAAGCTTTTAATAAGTACAATAAAAAATAAATGATTGATGTTTGCTAGGACAGAAATTATAATTCTGAAACCAAAATAAAAACATCTGTATAGAATATATAAATAAATATTAAAAACTCCATAAAATAAGAATATAATTAGGAAAAATTTTATTTAAAGCACAATAAATTAAAAAGACCGCGAATAAAATTATTTCATAGATATAGATGAAAAAAATATAATAATTACAAATACACGCAACTATAATTCTAAAATATGAGTGTACAGTATATAGGTAATATTTATTAGATAATTTTATCATAATATAATGGCCGCTATGTGATTACATATTATAATAATACATAATAAAAAGGACTTTTATAAAAAACTAATATAATAAAATAAAGTTAATGAGTAAGTATAAATATATCGAATATCAATATATAAATAAAAAAAACCACTATAACTAAAACTGAAACAGTGAAACATAAAAATTTAAAAATAAATTTAAGATAAAAAAAATATACTCAGAACCATTAATTAAAAAACGTATACTTTAAATATTGTATTCTAAACAATAAATCTACAACAGGAAAACATTGATCATATACTCTAAACACGAAACTTTGAACCCTAAAACTAAACCCTGAACCCTAAAAAAATTGAATAATTGAATAATTATTGCTTTTCACTTATAATCGTTTTGGTGAAGTTATATGAAATGTAATAGTTGTATATCTATGTACACTATGCATGTTTACATGAGAATTGGTTTTATAATGCACTTAATTAATTATGCTAGGGAAGTTATAGCTTTTTATTCTGTATTGATTTTTTATAATATAACATTTATTTTTTATGACATCATGCTTTTTTGGTATATTGTTATTTAGTAAAATATGTATTATAACTTCTATAATAATATAACAAAGGGTTATAAAGTTTTTCGCCATTTTAATTTATCTAATATTATGTTAATATTCAATATACTTAATCATATATTTTTATGATCTCTGATGCATGCGAAGTAATTAGAACTTTAGATAAAATGAATGATATGGTTCTATATATTTTTTTTGAATTATAATTATCCACTCCAATTATTTGACCTTTTATTAAATTACAAAAACATGAATTTTTGTTTATTTTGCATTATTAGTCCAAAAATATTTTTTAAATGTTTTTTTCAGAATACATGAGCAATGAACAATTAAAAAATAATATCTTAAAAAATATTTGTCCTTTATTATTAATAATATGAGAAAATCACATATATCGGGAAATTCATTAATGTATACAGGATATGATAAATGCGAAATAAAACATAATTATAATTACGTAATTTAATTTTTTATTTTTATTATTTCATATTTTTATCTAGGAGAATTAAGAGTGTGAAAAATATTTATATAAGTATATATACATTTCTATTAGAATATATTTATTATCCATTTATCATTGTTTGTTAAGGGATAATATTAATAATAATTCAAGTTATTTAGGGCATATTTTTTTTAATTATTTTTCTATTATAGAATTCGCACATAATTTTCAATGTACCTAAAGAATTATATATGTATTAAAATAAAATAATATGGAATATAAGATTTAATTTTATAATAAAAGGTGTAAATCATAAATTTTATATATTCTCTCATAAGATACGAACTACACTTGAATTATGTAATTTTCTGATATTTACGTATGATTTACTTTATATCAAATGTTTTATTTAGCATGTTACTTCTTCAAATAAATGTATTTGAAAAAAATAGGTAAACTTGTTAGAACATTATTTATATATGTTATATTTATTTTAATAAAAATTTCTATTGAAGCTAATATATAATAAAATATTCATCCTTTCCATATATCTTTATTTTTTCTTTGCTTTTAGAGTATATGAATTTCTTAAACATCTTTTATATGAAATGATAGTTACTTGATTAATTGCTGAAGTTTAATAACTAATCCGTAATGTTATAAATGAAAATGTTAATATACTGTTCACGAAACAAAATATTATTTAAGAAATGTATAACATAAATAAGAAATATTAAATATAACAATTTTTTTGGATGCACATTAAGGGATAATGAAATATTTTATCTTAATATTATTCTATGATTATTTTAATTTTTCTCAATTGTAATTATGTATTGATTATAATCTAAATATAAATTAAAATATATAAGTATCATTATTGTATTCTATTTGTTGGTTGTAAAAAATATTCATATATGTGTTATCTAAAAAATAACTAGAAATAAAACATTGAAAATTAGTATACAAATTAAGTACTAATAAGATTATCATATCATATTATAAAACAAATATTATATAGTTTTATAATATGATATAATAATTATATATATATATATATGTATCAATAGAACAATCTTAAGAATCAGGATTTATTTAAATTTGTTTGTACTCTCGTATAAGCATAATGTATGATTTAATGACATAAATAATATATTAAAAATGCATAAAAATGAGTACATGCATAATATATCACATATTTCAAAATAGAATAATTTTAACAATATTATAATATCATTATATATGTGCTTTTCCTTATATGTATTTGTTGAAAAATATAATATTATATTTAATGCTCAGAAAATGTAACTTCTTTCATTGAATACATGTATAATACAAAATTATAACTCCAATTAATATTCAATAGAAAAATAGAGTTTAACAAATTTAGTAAATATGCAATGAGTATATATAAAAATATATAGAATAATTAATAAGATATAAAAAATGAAAATTAATATATACCTTTCCTATATATTTCAAATAAATTTTGGTATAAAAAAAATTAAAATATATATGCTTTGTAGTATAATAAAATTATCTGATATCATATGATTAATAATATATTCTATAAAAATATAAAAACCTCAAAAAAAATATAACAATATGTTATGAATACTAAAAACAAAAAAAATTACATTTATAATATTCATATCAAATATTAATAAAATAATACAATTATACATCGATAAAAAAAAAAAAAAAAAAAAACATTTCATCATTTTAAATATATTAATATGAAAATAATATATTGTGAAAAATTAAATATAATGTATATAAAAAATACATAATTTATAAAAATTAACACATCCTGTAAATGCACTAATAGAAAAATATAATCCCTAATATGAAATCCATGAAACCTAAACGATTGTCACATATATACGTTATTCTTTTTTATTAAATATATTATATAATAAAATTATCCTAATTTTTTATATATTTGAATGAACTTAATAACAAATGAAGGAAGTTCATTATTCCTGAATCTCCTATTTTTCCTATTGAATTATATTTTTTATTATATTACGTATAAAAAAAGAAAATAACATATATACATGTATATATTAAAGGTAATGTTCTTTATGAGCATTATATCATTTTTTTAAAATATGTTTAAATAAATTATTTAATAATTATATAAAATTTTAGCGTTTTGTAATATATTTCATTTAGCAGAGCGCACTTTTTTTCAATAATATATTTGGATACTTTTTTCTTATTAATACATGTAAAAAGTATATTATTTTTCACAAATTATTACTAGTATTGATTATATTAAAATGTAATTTATAAGAACTCTAATTCATGCCAAATTTGTAGGAAAATAAACATAATAACAAAGCACATTGCATATTCATGCATTATTTTTTATAATTTGAACGTGTATATTTGTGTGCCAATATATTATGTTATCGTACATTTTTTTAAGGTTTAAATAGTATAATGTCATCAAAGGTGAGAAAAGAACATGTAAGTCTTAGTTCTTATTATGCATATTACAGTGTTAAAAATTTTTAAAATTCCCATTAGTATATATATATTTTGAAATGAAACTTAGATTAATGTATTTATTTAAATAGTGGTATATATATTTTTTTTAGTTTGATTCATTATTTACTGCTTTTTCGGAATACCAAAGTATTATGGATAGAAATAGTACGGAGATAAGGTACGAAAATTGGAATAACACTTGTCTGAATTTTGATAAAGCATTCTATACTGTTAATATAATAAAAGATAAAGACAAATTATGCCCTCAAGCGATGAAATATTTATATAATATATGCAGTAATATGGGAAATCTTGCAAATGAAAACCATTTTAAATACTTATATTATTGGATATATAAGCATCACCTAAAAGCTGGAATAGATAGAAACTACATCAAAGAATTCTATAAGGAAATAATTAGGGTATACAAATTATTTGGTTTGTTTGATTCTTGTGCTGATCCTTTTAGAGAAAGCATATTTGATAATGAATTGAAACTAATCACTGATATATGTGATATCAGCAAGAAACTTAATGATATAAAATACTCTACTTTTACATCTTGTAATATTAAAAGAAAGTGCGATTGTGCAGACGAATGTGCTGATATATACATGCGCGGACATAAGGTATGTGAGAATAATTGGGATGAACATTTTTGTAAAATATTAAAAAGTTATAAAAATAAATACAATGCATTAAATTTATCAAATGATTGTGATAATCTAAAATTCAAAACATGGCCTTCTGAAAAATTTGAGAATATAATGTCACCTTCTGCCCATATCAATAAATCGAAAACTGCTATAATATCATCTTTTCTAATATTAATAATACCTGCTTTTTTATTTATAATTTATATGGTTAAACATGATGTTGACATATGTATTTATATAATAAAACATTTAAAAAATAAAAAAAAACAAATTATAATATTAACATATTTTTAATACTTAATATTTTTTATTACAAATTAGTTCTTGCCATATAATTCATTATTACATCGTGAAATTAAAAAGATAATAAATATGTGTCGTGTTCTCAAGAAAAAATGGTGGAAATTGGAAAACTCAGAAATTTATAACAATATATATTGCAATAATAATTATAATGTCTTATATAGTTCCCATTATCTTGACGATTAATTATGTATTTCATAAAAATTATTTCTTTAAACACATATAGAATAATGTAATCAAAATATTTTCAGAATTTTTCCATCAAATATATCATGCAAAAAAAAAAAATTCATAGACAGTATAAAATAAAAAAAAATAACAATATATCAATTTAATAAAATAATATTTCAGTGAGTTAACATGCTATTTTGGAATTTATATCTAAGTGTACCGAATTAATTTTTTTTTCTTATTTTTGCTTTTGTGAAAAATGTTTATACATTCACACATAAATTCTTGACTTATTCTTCTTATTGTTATATGTAAAAAAAAGCAAGATAATCAGATTTATTTTTATTAATTTACATGATTCTTAATAATATTTTCTGCTCTATAAGAGATTTCTGTTTTTTCGTGTGTTTCATTAAATATTAATAATCCCTAAATTAACTGTGTAACAAATATATA